ATAAAAAAAAACTGTGATCATACTTCTTTTATTGAAAAGTATTTCACTGAAAAGAAAAAAAGGGAAATCTAAAAATTATGTATACTGATAATATGCTGTAGCCTAAATTAGTCTGAAGAAAAAAAAAATCCTTAAGATGACTTTTAAAAGGCCAAGATATTCCATCTTTTCATGGTAATCTTGCTAAACTGTATTTGAATGTGGAGAAATAAATCACTTTTCAAAAAACTCATGGAAACGGAATAGTTTAGCGTATATAATATGAAGTACATTTCATATTGTGTACAAAATAAAAAGGATCTTTATTTGTAAGGATCTTAGAAAAGTTGCCTTTACTACTTACTTCAGTGTGTTAATTTAAAATTAAAACAGAGATGAGAATGAATGTTTTAGACAATGATATGTGTGAATGGTAGGTACACAAAACCCACAAAACCTAGCCCAAAGGATGTACCACATTTAAGAATGGCAAAATTTTTCTCTATACCCTAACAACCAAACACACCCCCAGCCCTTTACTTTTTCCTTCCCCAAAGCAAAATAGCAGCTATCATTTTTCCTAAAGTAACATTTACATTTCAATTAAAGTAGCAATACTAAAAAGTGTATTATTAAAAACATTAGAGTATTACTGGGTACAAAGCATCAATCCAGCTATGTGAAAATATTTTCTAAAGTTTTCATATCAGAATCTCATACCCTAACAGTACTGTACAGAAGGATGACTCAGCCACATATGTTCTCATAGTATGGATGGAGAAAAGCTCTCTCTTTGGCACTTTCATTTCAAAAGCTCTGAAGCAAAAGCATAAGAGTTCACTCCTGAAACACACACAGTGGTCCCTCTTCCTTCTGAGCATTTTACAGGGAAGATATTTTCCTTGATTTTTTTAGTTTGCTTTAAAGTCACTACACATCAAGGGACAGTGTTAAATAAGTCAGTATCGTAGCAATTCCTATTAAATATTTGCAGCATGAATTCGGTAATTTCAAGAGCATTAAACATACAACACTCAAATATAAGTACAAACACATGCTGCAATGAATATAAGTGATGCTTTTGGCAAGCTTATACTTTATTCTCCAAGACAATGAAATATCTTGAATTTTCTAGAGTACACACCAAAGGCTACATAATCATTGGCCTCTGCACCCCTCGAGACACTCTGCAATCATAAACCAGACACTCTTAACAATTATTTTTTTATTCATTAAATTTGTTGCTAAATTAGAGTATAGCTAAGCTTGTCTACTAGTTATTAAAAAATCCACTACAAATGAATGTAAGTGATCCCATAGTTTCTTGGTTAAGTTTATCTGTAATTCTACTATTCTGCGATAATATAAGTAACAAAAAGCTGAACTTACTTCTTTGGGAGAAAATACTAAGCCACATTCTAGCAATGACTTTTCTTCTAACTCCAAAAAATATATATGAGGAGCATCAGGGTTTGTGAACCGTCCTAAAAAACAGGAAAATGTACATATACAATACAGTCAGATGCATAGATAGATAGATTTCTAGAAATAAAACAATGATGACTTACAGACTATAAGAATATTAAGCATTGAGTCACTGAAAATACTTAGGAATGAGTGTCCTTAAATTTTTAACAATTACATCTCAGAGCATTTTAAAAATGTTTTTCTTTACAATAATACATCATAGCATAAAATATGTACCTGGTTTGTCTTTAAAATTCATTGAAAACTCTGAAAAGTCTTTAAGATTAAACTCCACTGTGGCACGTGCTACACCTTTGTTTTTTATTACAAATGGAATAGTCTGGGTAGCACCAACAAAGGTGCTAAAATTAAATTCACTCTAAAATTTAAAAAGAAAAAAGTATAAATAATGGTTTATTAAATATATACTCAAAATAGTATTTCATATTTATTGAGGAATTTATTAACTGAAAAGAAGTTGAGTCACAATTTTCTTCCTTCCTGTAATCTTCTACATGTACTCAATAACAAATCCCATTAATTTTGCCCCCTGTTCACCTCTTACCCTTGTTTTAACTGTTAATTAGTCAACTATCAATTTCATTTAGTTCCTAGATTTTGAGTTTCCTAAGCCTTCTCCCATAACTAAGCCATTATTAAACTAATTGAGTGCCTGACCACTTTACCCCCTGTCTTAAAATTTGATGCTTTCTCCACATCTACTGGATAATGCCCAAGCTCACTGTCAGGGCTCATAAAGCTCCTTGAGATCTTCCCTGAATTATGTTCCAGCTTCAATTACCCCATTCTAACCCAGCACTTAATATTTCATCAAGCTTCATGACTTGTCATTTCTAGCCAACAAGTGATATTTCTCCCTTCATGGCTTCTGTCAGGAAGGCCATTCCCTGACTAGTAATTGCCTGAAAAATTTTTATGCATCCATCAGAGGCTAGTTAAATATGACTAATCACACAGTGCTTGGGACTATTCTGTGCCTTGTATGGATTCACTCTGTGACACCATATGGTCTGTTTACATATGAATCTCTTTTTGAAGAGTCCAGTTTATTTTTGTATTTTTAGTACCTGTTTGGTACTATCTAGTGAAAGAAACAGTTATTGAATGTATCTGAACTCTACTCATATACGAAGCATATGCCATGATATTCTTAAGGTTCCATCTTATGACAGATACTATAGATACTCTATAGTTCCTTAAGAAAATATTAGTTACTTAAGAAAACATTAGAACGTCAAATGGAGATTTGTTAACAGTATTCTTAGAGGAAAATCCTGTATTAGGTTCAATTAGTTACTATTTGTTTCATTTAAAGTATCAACCTAATATTTTTATATGAAATTTGTAAAATGCTACATGGATAATGAAAGTCTGGTACTTTGTAAATGTAAAAATATTAATTCCCCTTAACACATTGTTGTCTTGCTTATGTTATGTCCTCACCTGACTAAAATTTCCCAATTGTGATTAAGATATACATTCAAAATAAAAGTCTTTACTATGTTGTAATAAGCTAAATGCATTGTGAAAAGTATATTTTGATGTTAGAGTATTAGTTATATAAGACAGCTACATCTAAAATCCAAAATAAGAGCTGGCTTGGTGGTGCACGCCTATAATCCCAGCACTCAGGAGGCTGAGGCAGGAGGATCGCTGTGAGTTCAAGACCAGCCTGTGCTACAGAGTGAGTTCCAGGTCAGTCTCAACTACATAGTGAGACCCTGTCTCATAAAACCAAGAAAATAAAAAAATAAAATCCAAAATAAGGATATATTAATAAATATGTTAATATAAAGTCCTATAAATTATTCATTTGAACTCTAACATGCAAAGAACACCCTCAATGGCTTTAGACAAGGACATAAAGTAATAAAAGTCTTAATATTGTCTAATATTTTCCAAGATGGCATACTACTGCAGTGGAATAAAACACACTGTATTCTGTAAGATTTAATCTCCAGGAATCACCATGGCCTTGGAGAAGTGAGCTTATTATCTGTCAGTCTGTCTGGGCTTGATAGGCCCTCATCCCTGAGTAAGAGACAAGTTAGAAAATTTACATTTAAGCTAGATCCTAGAAATTTTGTGATGCCATTATACCACACAATAGTCCTGAAATCTACCTGAAGCATCCAGCTGACCTCTTCATTCCTAAAGTTCTGCTCAAGTTCATGCAGCACCAAAATGGTGCTAGGTGATAAAGTATGAGTGCAAGACAAAAACAGAGTGCAGGTAAAGTGTTATGATGAAAGTTTTCCCAGAGTATAATACATCTATAGTATATACATCACAATAAGGGGCATGTAGCTTTGCTTTGATGTATGAAAGGAAGTTTCTGTGGACAAATGAGACTAAATCTTATTCCTGAAAGGCTGGCCAGGAAAAATTAGGATGACAATACAACATGAAGAGCAATGGAATGTGGAGCAAACAGAGCACAAAAAGGAATTGTACAAATTATCCTGTAAAGTCAAACGTACACATTCTCAATATCTCAGGAATTTTACTCCTATCAAGGCACTATAATATAGTCATGGCTATAATTTTATATTAACAAAAACCAGGAATGCATAAGTGGAGGGACAATGGATTGAATACGGAAATTATAGTATGTTTACACAAAATGATTATATAGTAGTGACAATGAATAACATAGTTACATATAACTTACAACCTGAGAACCATAATATTTAAGTGACTCACCAAAGGCTACATGCAGTACATCTTTATTATACAGCTCAAAAAGGAACAAACTCATGCACTTACAGATACAATATATGATGTCATTAGCAAGTGGTTATCTCTATGATAGATAGGATTGTAATGAAGCCTAAGATGATTTTAATGGTACTGGCTGTGTTCTGATATCTACACTAACTGGTGAATTTGCAAAGAAATTGTTCATTATACTGTTACATCATTTATGCATTATACACATTAATATTTATGTGTAAAGTTACTTCATATTAAAATATGTTTAAAATATAACTTGGGATATATAAGAAATAAAACTCAGCACACTCATAAAATGACCATACATATAGGGAACATACTCACCGGCTTGATTTCAATATCAATCTACACTATGGTGAATTTGCAAAGAAATTGTTCATTATACTGTTACATCATTTATGCATTATACACATTAATATTTATGTGTAAAGTTACTTCATATTAAAATATGTTTAAAATATAACTTGGGATATATAAGAAATAAAACTCAGCACACTCATAAAATGACCATACATATAGGGAACATACTCACCGGCTTGATTTCAATATCAGCCATCTCACCAGATCCACCAATTCTAAGGTCTATAATATTTGCACAGTGAATAGCAACCTTATTTAGAAAAAATATAAACTTTGTAGACATCACATTAAAATATAATCATATATTGCTAAACATTATTTGGTATTTATAAAATAGTTCATAGTTTAACTAACAGTAGCATAAAATAAATATACAAAATTTATTATGGCAGTTAAATTCATATTTCCTGTGCTATAGCATTGATATTTGTGTGAAGAGTGAGTTTCCATTAAACAAAAGCCACCACAAATGAGAAACCACCTAAGAAATCAAGGCGACTAATTCACTCTTCTATAGGCTCACTGATACTACTCACAGGTAAATCAATCATAAAACACCACTTTCCAGAATCATTTGGAAAATCAACATGCCAACTTCATAGTCTTAATTACAATCTCTATGTCCCTAACATAATATCTCACATTTTATTTAAAAGTATATAATACACAATATATTTAACTAAAATCACATGGAGTATAATTTAGAGATTCAGAAGAAATTGCATATTGACATGCTCTTCATTAACTCCATATAGATCTCAACCTCCATGGCTTACTTTTACTCATTGTCTCATCTCTATCTATCTATCTATCTATCTATCTATCTATTTATTTATTTATTTATTTAGGAACCAGGGATCGAACTGGGGTCCTTGAGCCTGCAAGGCAGGCAGCAGAACCACTGAGCTAAATCCCCAGTCCTGTCTCATCATTATTTAGAGAAGATTTCTAGCTGTATTAACTTATTCACCATTCCATCCCATTGTTCCTTGACTTTCTCACCTCTAGGGAATTAAAACATCCCCTGGACAATATGACCCATCATAAATATATAACATCTGAATCCATGCATTCATGTATCTATCTCTTTGTGACAACCCCCTCTCATCCCTTCTTTTGTAACTCATTTGCAAAGGAAAGAGTTCCAGAATATCACATCACAGATACTGTTAAGTTTTGATGTACAATGAATCCCTGAACAACTCCTATTCAAACTCTATTTTCCCTGCATTCAAATTCTCCCAAAATATATCATTGCAACTTTTCACTTAATAATACATTTGATCCATTTCCACTCCTCTAGGTCCTTTTAGGCATATTAGAAAAGTTCCTTTTCAACTCTAAGATTAATCTTTAGTCTCTGCAGTAGTATGTACAGTGTGTGTGACTATTCTTGTATCAGACATCTCTATGTGGAGATCCAAAAGATGTTTCCAACTCAAACAAGTATTCCCATTTCAAATCTTCCATTCGTCTTTTGATCTTCCCACACTGATTTGCCACCATCTGTCTCACCATTGACTTGCCTATCTCACATATAGGTGGCCCCTTTGCAAAAATCAATCCTTAAGAGTCATCTAAATTTGACTAGAAATTGTCTAAAATACAATTTCTTAAAGAAAAAGAATGTTTTTTTTTCTTGCCTGGACATCTTTATCAGCCTCAGAACTCTGTATAATTTTCTTCAATCTACTTTACAGCTCTACAACCAAAATGATCTCTGAAAAATGCAAATATTACTGTGAAATTCTCATGATGAAGACTCCTAGCTTGTAAGATGAAAGCTGCATTTGTTAGTGTTGTTGGTAAGATCCCATGTTACCTAAAACTTCCACAAGTCTCTAAGTACATCTTTCCCCATCATTGTTTATGCAGTCTATAAATCCAGTCATGCTAAATTACTTCTCACATACATCTTGCTGCTGTCTCTCTCCCTTAAGCCTAAACATATGCTCTTTATGATTCCTTGAATATTCTTTCTTCCTCTTCTCTTAACTCAATACTTTTCTTAAACCAGTCTGATTCTGTTTTTTAATTTTTTAATGAAAAACAAAAATGTGTAACAAAATAATAAAAGAATAAAAATAGTTAATATACTGTGTATTCTAATCAGGTTTATTTATTTATTTATTCATTTATTTATTTATTTTTGGTAAGGGGATCAAACTCGGGACCTTGCTGCTTGCAAGGCAGGTGCAGTGCCACTGAGTTAAATCCCCAGCCTATATAGTCTTTGGTGCGGGGGATGGGTACCAGGTCCTTGTGCTTGCGAGGCAGGTGCTGGAACCACTGAACTAAATCTCCGGCTGGGATTCTTTTTTTTTTTTTCCCGACCTATATATTCTAATCTGAAAAGTATTTACCTGATTCTTAACCTCAGGGGTTTGTTTCTTCTTTTCTTTTCTTTTAAATTAATTTATTAGCATATCTGTGATACATAATAAATATATTCATCATGGGAATTAGTACTTACACCTATCACATCTCGATCCTGTTTTCTTCCCCTTCCCCTCCTCTCCCTCCCATATTCCCATCCCTAGATTCCATCACCACATCCATCTCCATGTTTCTAACATATACCTTTTATTTTGATCTTTAAATTATTTCTATTTTGGATTTATCATATAAGATGAATCATGTGACATTTATCATTCTGTGTCTGATTTATTTCACTTAGCATTATGTACTTCAGGTGTGTGCATTTTCCTAAAATTACTGAAATGTATCCTTACTTATGGCAAAGCAATATATATAATATATTTTTATATATCACATTTTCTTATCCATTCATCTGTCAATGGGCATCCTGTAGGCCAAGACTTAACTATTATTATCAACTCTGTAATATTTTAAGCCTAGCTTCTGTAACTTTCCTGCAACCCTTAGCCTTCTGTTTTCTCCACTGTATACTTATTACAGTATATTTTAATGGGTGATTAAATTTTGTGTTTCCCATAGATTATAAATTGTTTGAGATTAAGAAGCCTAATTACTTTATATCCCTAGAATCTACAAGAGAGATTGGTGTATGTTGTGAATGGTAAATGCATGAATAAATAAAGGTCATTATTTTATAACGTTACAAAAAGTCAGAGTGCTAAAAAACATAACTGTCTAAAAAGCAGTGAAAATTGATTTTATTAAAATCTTATTTTTATTTTCTCCAGAATATTGTGTAAAATATTCTGACCAAGTCTCAAATAATATAACAAAATATACAATTTATAATTTTTCAACACATAGTTATTTATAAAAATAAGTTACCATTCTCAGGTTATTTACTTGGGGGTCATGAAAATCAATGTGTGATATCTAAACTACATTTTACTTAATCACTTATTGTTATGGCAATTTACAGAATAAAATGGAGGATATAACTGCAGCTTTTCATTTTTCCAAATGATAGCTGCATGCACAATTTTTAATGTGAGATAATGCACACAACTGATCACCAGATTGAAGATTAAGTGTATTACACTCCCTCAGGTTTATAATTGAATAAAACTTTTCACAGAGCAGTCTTTCATGTTTTATTTGTTCTGTGTAAAGAGGGCTTAGGGAAATGCCTAAAATCAAAGCAATTTCTTTGAGTTACATAATTCCTGGAAAATAAAGCTATATAATTTTTGTGTTACCAAATATGTGAATCTTAATAGTACATATAATTTGCATACAATTCATACAGTTATCAAAACTATCTAGAATTACTTAACACAGTTGATCATTTTTCCTAATGTTATGAAAAAGCCATCCTCTTTTCTATGACCAGTGGGGTTTTATGAAGACTACTATCACTATATTCTTATGTGAAAATGTCCAGTATTCATGGAAGGCACACATTTCAACTTAACAGAACTTTCCATTACCAACTTCCAACACAAACACATTTTCTGCAAATACTCCCCAAGTTGTGCTGTACCTAATTTCAACTTATATGATTTAGATAAGATTTTTTATTTTTTAGCTTTGTAAAATTCATACATCTGTAGAACTACGTTTCTAGAAAAATAGAAAATTCAAAAATTGCCTTTTAATGTCATAACTTCAAAATTCTTTACTAATAGAATAATCAAAACAATTTTGTAAGAATGAAAGTGCCAGGCATTTTATAGTACTATACCTACTACTTTAAATATTTTAAAGAATCAAACAAATTGAAATAGTTTTATAGTGTAAAAAATCTATGTATAGACATACCTTTGCTTTTGTATCAAATTTTTCTGCAGCCATGGGTGTACAGGAGATATGAAGAACAGTTATTCCCCCAAATGGAATTATTCCTTGACGTGGAATAATATTAATGGTAGACAAAAGACTTTCATCACAAACCTATAATTGAAAATTTGTAGAAATGCCACATAATGTTTAAAATCACTGCTTTAAAGTTTTCATAGGAAAGCATCCATACCACAACTTAGAGAGAATACATGAGCATAGGAAATAAGGCAATTTTTTGATATTGTTTGAAAATATCAGACACACAATTTGAACGTACCACAAGGAATTTAAACTTTCATTTACAAAATGAACCTACATTAGGAAAATTTTCTGATTCAAATAGGATGATGAAGTTTATTTCCTGGGGTGCTCTGAAGATTGCAAAGCTTAAACAAATGAGATATATCTCTTAGAGATAATGAGAACATTCTAGATACAACTTTAATATCTTGCCTTTCCCAGATCCTAAAGCATAGTGCAAAGACAAGATGGTGAAGCAAACTTTTCTTTCTTATCTCCTTGAGAGAAAGCCTAATGTCTAAGATATCATCTTGATTTTTAAAAATATCATAAGTAACTCACCAAGGCTTTATGTGCTAAAGGTCAATATAAACCTATTTATCATCCTTAAATACAGAATTTTTTTTTTTGAGACAGGGTCTCACTATAGTTCAGGCTGGCCTTGAACTCACTATGTAGCTCAGGCTGGCCTTGAACTTGCAGCAATCCTCCTGCCTCAGCCTCCCGAGTGTTGGGATTACAGATGTATGCCACCACATCCGGCTAATCCAGAATAATTTAAAAGGCAGCGGGTCATAATAGGAGCAAGTAGACAAATAGACTATTTAGTCAAGAACTAATTCTGAACCAGTAAAGTAGAAAATGATTTTTATTTTAGCTAGAACTGATTTGAGAAAAAAATGCTAATGTAAAGCCTGAATGAAAGATTTCACATGCTATATAGTCATGACATATTTTTTCATTAAAAAAATCTCAACACCACTTAATCCCTCACTCCATTTAAATAAGGAGAAACTACTATAAAAAGACTATCTGCAGAACAGCATTCATGTAAGTATCATTTGATACCATAACAGCCCTGACTATACAGTGGAAATAAAGAGAAAAAGAAAACCATTTAATTAAATATGGAATGAAGCATTAATCAGTACTGTATATTTGAAACATTTTTTCAAACACTTTCTAAAAATAAAACTGAATAGCACAGCAAAGGAGAAAAATGGAGCAAGAGGAGAAGAAAGGAAATACCTAAGGAAGGAAGGGAGAGAAATAATGCTTATGAGAAAGTAAAAGGACAAACCAGATGAATAGTATTCAAAAAATTATATTAAAATCTTAAAAATCAGCATGAATCTATTCATTAGGAATAAAGTATGATCTTCATAGAATTCATAACAACCTGATTCAAATCATGTGATCTGATTCAAATAAGAAATGACAAAAATTCTATATTACCTTGAAAAATGCATGATTTTGTCCTGCATTATGAAGAATGGCTTTCTTCCAAGTTGTTAAACCTTGAGGACTATTATTAAATAATATCCTTGGCTCTAAAAATGTGACTGTGGTGTTACCAACCTTGTAATGACAGAAAGAAAAGGAAAAATTAAAATAAAATAATAATAAATAAAATAGGTTACGTTTTTCATAAAAATGAAGTATTTTCATTGTGAATATATTAAAGATATGCTTAACTAAATGTATGAAAGATGAATGATAATATTTCTGTATTATTTATTTAATGCTTTATTTATTTATTTTTATTGTTATTATTTTTTGGTACTGGGGATCGAACTCCGGACCTTGCACTTGCGAGGCAGTGGAACCACTGAGCTAAATCCCCGGCCCTTAATATATTTTAATATGCAAAATTAATCCCACATGACATTACATTCCCATTTTGATTAAAACATAATTAAGAGTACTGTATCCCTAAAATGTACCAATAGACTCAATTAAAGCTGAAAAAATGTATTTAAGATATTATAACATTTTCCTCCAGTTAAAATACAGTGATAGGGCCGGGGATTTATCTCAGTGGTTCCGCTCTCAAGGGCAAGGTCCGAGCCTGATCCCCAGTGCAAAAAAAAAAAAAAAAAAAAAAAAAAAAAAAAAAA